GGCTATTAAAATATACGGTGTGGGGGCCAAATTTTACAGTGAGGCACGGCCTCAGTTGCTTCATACGACGAGCCGCCACTGGCTAATTATTTACAAACGTTTTGTTATCACACGGCTTTAAAATTGTTTCTGACCATGATGTTTTTTTTAGAAAGAGACAATTGGGCATTTTCTTTAATATTACCTACAAATTAGCGTTATTATCCATTCAGCGATTCAGCTAAGATTTTTTACTTATTATCAAAAATCTTGATTAAGTACAAGCAATAAAAACTGAAATTGCCTTAAGCCTGGCAATTGAAAAGATTCTGCGAGAAGATTCATTCCGTCTTATTGTACAGTCATAAAAAAGTGATAAAAGTGTCCTTTATACGTGGAATACGAGAAGGTTTCTCATTAGATTCTTCTACGACGTTAAACGTAGCACCAATGCGACCAACCTAGTTTTAATTTGAGAACTGCAGCGTCTCACGAGAGCTCTCATAAAATCCGCTGCAGCGACCCATAAAAATATAACTATAACTGCAAAATATATAAAATAATTTCTCTGGGGATCCCATAAATTGTCTTCCCTCTATCGAACGCCGGTTTGTCTGCTTGCGCTATCTCTATGGGTATTTTCGTCCTGCAAGGCCTGTTACTGAAATCGTTTGCGACTGACTGACATAATTTTTTCATAAGGCAAATGTTGTTTAATTTAAAAAAGTAAATTTGAATATATTAAATAGTGCCGACTGCGAAGACTAATGATAAAAATAGACAAAGTAAATATATTTTTGTAGTCGTTGAAGGAGAGTATGTGGGTGTATATACTTGGAAGTGAGAAAAACTGTACCTGTTGACGGAAGATTTCATTTCTGTATTGTCAAGTTCAGTTATCTTTCCTGGCAAAGTACCAATATATGATCTAAAATTGTACATTTCATTGGGTGCCTAAGTGTATTTTGATTACACTACAAGTTTCTGTAGTATGTGATACTACGTAACATGTAGTATGTTTTTTATGGAATCGTAAATTTCTCAAATTTTTGGAAGGCACTTTCGCATTTATTGTATTATTTATGTATGTTTTTAATCCTCAAATAACTTAAGGCTGTCCAACTCTTTTAATAGGTGAAATTAAATGTATATTTCGCGTCATTAATAGAGTGTCATAACATAACAGTCGTCGAAATTCTTTGTTCTAGTAAAATAAAAACCATATTTTGACAATACAATACCTAAAACGCGAAACTGGAAACCAGTATCAGCCAAAAATAGAATTATGCTGTTGAGTAAAATTTTATCCATTGATTTTTTTGTATTTACACAAAAAAAGTCAGTGTTACTATTTACGAAATATTTATTAAAGGGAAAAAAAATTAAAAGAATAATTTTTTTATTATCGTATTTTTGTTATAATAAAATGTATGTTATTAAAATTCGATTTTCTCAAAAAAACGCTATAAGATATCACTGATATACGGTATACCTTTTTTTTTAACAAAGTGAGAGAAGAGTCGAGCTATGAAAGAAAAACGCCAAATTTGGCAACGCTGTCAAAGATGTATAAATTTAAATAGATAATTTCATCTGCTCCTGTATAATCCAGGCATATTGGAAATTGGAAACTTGGAAAGTAACACTACCATCAGTTACTTTAATTGCCCAAATTTCATTGTTGTCATAGTAACGACTTAGAAGTTATAATTAGAAGTTGTTTGTTTGAAGGCGAATAACTACAACGCAGCCCGATAGGAATTTTTTTTATGAAGTAAAACAACTATTTTGACATCCCCTGTAAATATTTCTGTCTAGGCTAAAAAGAAAAAGAAATTTTAAATAGCTCATGCCTTGTGCCAAAAGAATCGGTTAAGGTGTTGGTTTTATAAACATACCTTTGCCTAGCCAGAAATATCTCACACTAAGAAAAGTTAACTATTTATTTTAACTATAAAACAAATCAACTTAATATTTGGGGATAATTTGTTCTGTTTTCGTTCTCAAAATTTTTAATTATAAGGATTCAAATTCTGAAAGTCCAATGTGACAGTTTTTTTTTGTTTATGTACCTATTGCAGTAAAATTTTGTATAGTCTATTTTATTTTCATTTTTCATGTGGCATTAAATACTAAATTAAATAAAAATCGAATTATACATTATCGGAATATATTAATCCAACAATTCTCATTAGAATAATAATTAGTTATTAATTAATAAGTTATCGTAGCGTAAATAAACATAGGACTTCCGAAAAGATAGCACGAAAGTTCAAGTTCTGCTCTGTACCTATATATTATTATGCAGTAAAATTCTAATAGTGTGACGCTACTGACAGAATATGATCACATTCTAACGATTAGGAGGACGAAGCAGTAATTCTGGTCCAGTACATATTACGTCACAAAAATTTCTGCAAATATTTGCTCCAGCCAAATTCTAAAGCGCGTGGGTGATTTAAAATACTCATTTGGGATGCACTATTCGAATAATTTTCTGTGAACAATATAATGGCCTTCAAGCTTCAAGATATACTTGCTTAATGAATTACGGTGATCTAGTTGGCAGGGCAGTCCATACATTTAGACGGGACTCTTGGAAAAGTCACTTTAGGATTTCTTTTTATTAAAATCTGTCTGAATATTCTTAATCAGTAGGTATCACTTAAATGTAGAGTGTTCTCCTAGTTCTTAATAAGCCGCTGTATGTCCAAAATTTAAATATGTAGAAATGTTATTTTTTCAATTACAAAATGAAGTCATCATCCATTTCGATTCGTGCAATTATTACCAAACAGTAAGCCTTTTTAATGAGATAAAATTATTGTTTTCTAACTTTGACTAACGGTAAATTTACTTGGTTATTCTAAGAGTTGAATAAGGAAGTCCTTTACCGATCTCCGATATTAAGTTATAAATAATGCAACTCTACTAATCCAGAAAATATCTTTTATCAAAATAATCCACATTTCTCAGTAATCCGATAGTGATCCGATAGTTGAATATAAAAATAAAAGATGTCCGTGAGATAGTTATGTTATTTATTTTGAATCCCGATTTTCTTTGGCAGCGAATAAATATAAAATCAAGCGTAAATTATGTAGGTACGTATCTATTTTGTAGTAATTCAAGGATGCTCCGGCCTTTGACTGTATTACTGGCACTGTTTCTGAGCATTATTTCAATCTGACCAACTATTTGTATACCAGACCATGCAGAACGCTTTTTGTGTAGAGGTAATTTTAAAACAAGTAAGTAGATATTTTCTTCGTAAACACTGTATCTGATAGTATAGATATAATTATATATTAAATTTTTCTTGTTCGCGATCATGAAATGTCCTTATACGTAGGTACCAGTACATTTTTTCTCGTTCCAATATTTGCATATTAAAAATATGAATAACTTTTGCCGTCAAATTGATAAATTGATTATTTTCACGAAACAATGCCGCATGTTTTTAATTTATTAATGTAGTGCTAAAAATAATGTAATTTCGCTAAAATATATTTGGCGCTTTGCGCCAGTAATTAAGGTAAAATTAAAGCATGTTTTCAAGGTCCATTTTTGTGAATATTATACTGAACATTTATTCATATCTAATTTATATTTATTTGTGAATTTAAATGAACGAATACTAATAATCCAATCAATGAATCAATTACCCTCAAATTTGTCATGAAATTTAATGGTGTTGACTCGCTATTAGTGCAAAGCGTTCATAAATGGGTTATTTTACGTGACCGCCGAACTTAGGCAACCAACATTCCAGGATTGACAGTGCCAACTAAAAATCCCTAAATCTTATAACAATGCAACAAGAAAATTACTGATCATGTTGCTTGTAATAAATTATAAACACTAAAAATCGTGCTCAATATGGAGCTTCAGTGACATGCTATTATTGTAACCATACCTTTTACATAATAGAAAATATAATAATTTTTTTGATTCATGTAATCAATTTACTAAAATATATACAGGGTGATTCAGAATTTCTACAGGGGATTCTTACAAATACAATTTTGTAAAGAAAAAATCAAAAAGGGCAGTTATTTTTATTATTAATTAATAAAATTAATCTGTGGTTTTAATTAATAAAATAATTTGACATAACTGATGTTACAACAACTGTTAAAAATTTTGTCCACCGACGTGTAAACCCATTTGGACCCGTCTTACTCAGTTTCCATGAATTAACACAAATGTCCTGTTTCACCATAGCACAAATGTTTCACCATAACACAAATGTTGTCTTGCTTCACCATAAATTAAAACGATATCAACTCCGAGTTGTTATACACGCAAGCCATTTTTGACACTAATTACTAAAAAAACTATTGTAAATACTAAAGCAACGGCAATTGTAAAATCGGATTTCAGTATTCGGAGTCGCTGAGGTCACGTGGCTCTCCACGCGTATTGCGACTGACGCTAAAGAGTACAGTTGTCCAGCGATGTAATGCTTGAAAATACTACAACTTCAATAATTTTTTTCTCGGAAACGATAAGGATTTTACTAAATTTTTTTTACGATTTGACTTCATTTCTCATGCCTTGTAATTTCCTAACTTTTTATAAGAACAAATATATACAGTGAATGTAAAAACTGCCATGCTTCAGTCCCAATACATATTACCCAATACCAGTTGTACTTTTTGACTTATGTCTACCTCTATCAATATCTAGATATAAGAAAGAATTAGTAAAAAAAATCTAATCTAATAATTTTTCATTCAGTTTCTACCTACAATGAAAAGATAATAAAATCGATGTAACCAAATAAATACTGAAATGGTATTTATGAGTATCTGACAAAGTATTATTACTTTGTATGTGTGACAGATATATAGAGTGGAATGTAGAATATGTCAGATATTTTTATTTTTTTCTGTCTTTACTAAAATAAAAAATAATTTAAAAAATGGTGTGTACATTTGTCCCAAATTTTCACTTTTCTGTAAATTCTGTAAATGGAATTTCACTTTTCCTTTTTCTAAAAAATAACTTTATTGTTGCAGTGATGTATCACCAGCACCCCCCGTAAACCAGGGCTCACCAGTGCGGTGTGCCCCCGCAAGAACCAATATGGAGAGCCCCAAGAAGTCTCCCCAGAGCAGCCCCGCAACTGCTGACAAGGCCACGGTTAAGGTGAGACCATTTTTTTTATTAAATATCATAATCTGTATTCAGGCACAGTCATGGGTCTAAAAACTGTTTTACATTTTCCAATTTTTTCTTCAATAAATCGTTCAATAAACTGGCCAATTTATTGGTCAATTTTAAAGCTATTAACTCTTACCAAACCTATATAATTGCAATAACAAACACATATGTAAACTATTCTTCTAAATATTTGATTATGTGTAAAAGAAACTGTTAAAATTGTGGAATAAATGAAATTGGTACTATTGAATCACTTACAATTAACAAAATTTGACGATAAATTAGAACGAGATCAGTTGCTTCTAATATTTCTTCGCTAATTTTTGAATTTATGAATTTAATACCAATATCGTCTAATAATATTAAGAAAAATATAAATCATTGTTTTTTAAAACTGAATTACAGTAACACATAAATTGCAAGTTGTACTTTTCAATGTTGACATATACCGTTAAAGATTTGGTAGTAATTATTTCAAAGTGCGCTGCATAAACTGAAATTATATTCTTTGAAATATACGAATAATATATTTTTTTAGGTTCATCTGCCAAATGGTGGTTTCAATGTAGTTAGATATGGCGATTCGATCGACATCAAGGGTATCATATCAACAGTTACAGAACGGCTGTCAACAGGGGAGAGATATTATAATGGACTTTACGCTATGAGATTATCGAGACCACCCTCAAATGAGGTTAGCATACAACCCCACAAGTTTACTTATATTCCTAATGTAGTATTTTAGAATCTATAAATATTCTATCACTAAAATCCTAAATTGCATAGCAGATAAATAAAAGCTCATATAATGTCCCGGAGATGTTGAATAATTGCCAAAATATCTGTGTATGTACATTTTATAGCTGTACATATTAATAATACAGATCAAAGACAAATTTTTATTATCTCACTTGCCAAATAGTAATGTCATTATGTTACATGTTAATCATGTTATATATTTCCTTATCTTATAAAGTTTATAAAATAAAAACAACTAAAAGAAGCTAAAAACAAGTAAATTGAAATTTATATTTTTAGTAATAAATCCATCGAATATGTTTTAGATGCACTGGTTACACCAGGATATAACAATGCAGCAGGTCCATGAAAAATATCTAAAAAAACACCCAAATTCTGAGTGGAGGTATGATCTTCGAGTTAGATATTTGCCTACTAGTCTTAAGGAACTTCATGATAGGGATAAAGTCACCTTCCATTATTATTATGATCAGGTAAGTAAACAGATAAGTACAATGAAGTAACTCTATTTTTCCAAAAATTAAAAGTATACCTATTTAAACCATTTACCAATTTTTGACCTATAATTTGATTAATAAAAATTGTGGGTTTTACATATCTCCATTACAATCGATCAAATTTGGAGCTACTAATTTTTAGAATTAAAAACAATAATAACAGCGAATGAGAAATGGAATAAACTTATAACTTATGCCATAATTGTACTACTGATTAAATATTAAAAACACAGAGTCACCAGAATTGGCCGACAGATTATGACTAGCTCTATTGTCTCTAATTTCTTGGTCAATTTATTAAAACCAGGATTTACCACAACTTATGTATTACATGTATAACTTGACCAATTTTTATTAATACGAAAACAATGTTAATATTAGAAAGTATATGCAGTCCATACAAGTTACATAAAATAGTAATTTTTGTAATTACATTTTAATTTATCACAAGTATTTTCTTCCTATTTCAACTATTCAACCTTGCGCAATGAATTTATCCTCTATCCATGTAATTGCAGTACCAAACCCTACAATGCAATCCTGAAATATTTTGTTGTTATACATGGTAAAAACCACTTAATCATATTTGTCAGGTTGCAATTAATTTAATATCAGTCAATCTTAATTAACAACTTCATATCAATCACAAAGTATAGATTTACAGAGTGTAACAAAAAATATGCTACGAAGTTTGATGAAAATTTAAAATAATATTTTAGTGCTTCAAATTTTCTTGAGTTTATTAGTTAAAAATCCAAATTTATAGGTTGCTTCTGTACATTATAAATGTCAACATGTATTTTCTCCATTATTTTTTGGAATATGAAGAAAAGTGTAAGAATAAAAGTTGTAAGTTACTTTATAAACTTTTTAATGTCTGTGTTGCAGAAACAATAAGGTTTTACTGGAGTACCACCTAAGATAAGATTTATTAATTAGAACACTAACACTATATTTTTACATATTTGGACAGAATGTATGTAAAAATATATAGTGTGTTCTATTTAAAAAAGCCATCTTAGGACTTTATCTCTTATTTATTTTATAGCCCAATGCACAATTTTTTTTAGCAACTTGGGTGTTTGGCAATTTAAACTTTTAATCGTACATTTTTTGGACAGGTGGCTTAATTTCTTTGCGATTTACAGGTCAGGAATGATTATCACACCGAACTGTATAAGAAAATCGATCAAGAAGTGGCTGTGCAATTGTGTTGTCTAGAAATACGTAAATACTTCAAGGACATGCCCCAGAACGTCCTAGATAAGAAATCCAATTTCGAATACTTGGAAAGGGAGATCGGCATGCAGAAATTCATACCAAATAGCGTTTTAGAGAAGATGAAATCCAAATCATTGAGGAAGAGCATACAGGCTCAGTTTAAGAAATTCGCGCACCTCACCGATGTTGAGAGCATGTTCAGGTTCTTGGAGATACTGAAATATCATACAAACTTCGATCAAGAACGGTTCCGGGTCGATTTCGGGAGCAGCTTTACAGTCCCGGTCGAATTGGTGATAGGTCCTGACATTGGTATATCACATACCAATGTTCAGGAGTCGACGACGAAGAAAATAGCCGACTTCGATCAAATACAAGCCATTCAAACACTAGTCAGCGATTGCGATGAACATACCAAAGCCACTTTACAGTTAAGGGTCGCCGGGACACAGGAAGTGTTGTTTTTCACCTGCCCGAACTTGGACGTCGCGGAAAGCTTAGCGGATCTTATCGACGGTTATTGCCGGCTGCATTCTGGTTCGCAGACTTCCATTTGCAATAGAAAAGGTAACAATTATTTACTTTATGGTTTATGATTCTTGTTTAGGAAATTAGACTGTTAGAATTTAGCAGTTGTAGTCCTAGAAAAACTTTAAAAGCTCATTGAACTTGAAATTTAAATTTATATTGGAGAAAGCTAGACCTCTACAAATTAATTGTTTCTTTAACTTTGTCATAACGAATTGTATTACTAGAGCTTTTTTTATATCATTTTTAAAATTTTTACACTTTGTCATTGCCTGGTGATGAAATTCTTTAAAATAAGAACATTTTCCATAAACATGAGTTGGGGAATGCTTACTTTTTGAAGTGCAGGATGAGGTTAAAATTCCTAAAAGTGTTTTTTTAAAACAATTGAAAATGAACAAACTAAAATGGTAACTTGAACCAAATTCATTCAGTGTGAAACAGAGGGATTAAAGTAAAATACTGTGTTACCTTTCTCGAGATGACATTGGTTCATTTATTTAGAACCAAGAGGTTGGCAGTATGTATTAGGTTCGGTCACTGACGTAGCATTGGACTAACTCGGCATTTAAATATTTAAAAAACTTGTTCCCATATTTATTCAGCCATACCCATATACAGGTCTGGTCGAACTAAACGTGGAGGTGGTAGAAATGTATACACCCCGTAGATGATATGCGTATAACAGCTGCACTGGGCAACTGGGCAATAAATCTCAGTTATTGACACGTTGACAAATTGCCTAGCAGTGCAGTGCAACAATGCGGAATTTGATGTGATTCAGGTAATTTTAATGTCTTATAGGCACCTTCTATTAATAATTCATATTACAATTGCAAAAGAGAGAAATAAGAGGGATATTTTGTTTACATTATTGCAATATGGCATTTTGGAGACCTTTTGAAGCAGAACAAAATGAAATTTACCGTCGATATAATAAAATAGTTTGAGGACATATACAATTAAAGTATGTTGTTGGTTAAATGAACATATAATAGAAATTTTCTATACATTATTTACAAATTATTATAATTTTTTACCTTTAACAGAAAACTTTTTTAGGGACCCCTATGAAACTCATTAAATTTTATTGCTAGGCGTTTTTATACATGTTTAACCGACTTTGGAAAGACTATAATAGAAAATTTATGGCAAAAATGCTAGAATTGTTTTTGTGTAAAATTCAAATTTTAACGTTCGGGAAAAATTATTATATGAAGAAAATACATTTTACTTAGTATCCCTGGTTTTACCGGCTCCTGAATAATTCTTGTATACAGGGTGTGAAGGTCATATTTATACGGAGGCTACCTTTGACCTTTAGAAACATCGTAAATTTGTTTTCTCAAATTCCGCACTGAAAACATTAAAAAAAATTTTTGTCCACACCCTGCCGCTGAACAACACAAATAATCATGCTCGAACATATACTCAATTGGAAGCTATGACATGCATTGTCAAATTTCGTTTCTCTTGATTCATATGCACATTTTTCATAATATCACACAAAAACATAATAATTAAAAGAAATACACTGTACAATCATTATACACTGAGATAAATAATTTTATAAGATATATTTTACACTACACAAGACACTGAATGAAATGCAGCATTTTATTATGCAAATTTTAAATTGAAAACTAAAACAAATGTATTAAAATGGTAGCTGGATAATTCATCCAGGTCATTGACACCGAGTTTCACAAACTAAACACAGTGCTTTAAAAAATAGTAACAAACTCTTTATTGATGAAATGAAAATATACCTTATTTAAAACTGTTATTATTTTAAAACAATTTAATTTTACTTACAATTAGTAATTTAATATTTTAAATGTTTATCGTTTCATCTTCATTGACACAAAACTTTAAAATAACACGGTGCAATAGAGATATGTCTTAGGAACTAAGCATTTCTCGACCCATATTTATTATGAGAACTTTTTCTTATTTTGAGACGTTCTCTCACCAGATAAAGTTGGGACAGCCTATATAACATTACTCCAGAGTACCTAATGTGCTTCTCTAGATAGTATTTTAATGTATGTAATTCTCTTTACAAGCTACAGTATGGAAACAATTTCCTTGTCCTTGTAAAGGTTAGTAATAGTTAATCTATTTGCATTTCTTGCACTTTTCGTAGTTAATTCGTAATTTGTAACATTTTATTTTTATGATTCATAAATTTTTTTTATATTTCACCATGCACATTATTTTATTATAGAACTACAGACCATAGTTGTCTTTAGAACTGAGATAAAGCATGCTTCTTATTTTTGTAGACTACATTTGTGATATCTAAGTGAATTTTTGATGACTAATTAGATATAAACAATACAGAATATTTACGTTAAGCATAGACCACAAGCTGACATGAATAGCTTCATTTTGATGAATTCATGTAAAGTAATAGGTCAGATTGTTCTTCCTGTTTTGATCATGCATTCGACTGGACGTTTAGTGCTTGCTAATGCGTATGTTTGTTTTTTATATTTGTGTTTTAAGAAATTTTTATATTTGGAAAGTGCATGCTCATAAACCATTTAGTAACTAATTAGTAATTGGTTTCAGACCAAAATCCTTCAAAGCATAAATCGAGTAAAGAGAATTTTTCAAACCCTACAGGCACAATGTTGTCCGAGGATTATGCAGAAATTGTTGAGGAAGGTGATTACTCAGTTCCTGCTGGTAAGTAATCTATACATTTATAATTATACAATGCCTCTAAAAAATTCACTGTTTTTTTTAGTTTTTACTGTTTACTATTTTATTATTTATTAATTTTATCGGGATGTTGAATAATTTTTCGATGTTTTTTTGTGAAAATTAATACTTTGTTTAAAAAAATTTGTAAAAAAGCATGTCACTGAAAGTATTGTCTATCACTACTACGTTTTCCCATCTTTCTGGCATTCCACATCGGAAAAACAACACGTCTTTTGAGGCTATCCAAGAATCAGCACATTTTTTAGTATCTTTATAAGAATGGAAGCGCTGTTCAGCCAGGCCATGTGCCATCGATCTCAACAAGTGATAATCAGAAGGGGCATTGTCTAGGCCGTTTTTCCTTCAATAATCGGCTCAAATGCATCAATTGTAGTCGATAGTGATGTTCCATGATGGTTTAATTGGAATCATAGATATTCAGCTTCCCCAACGATGTTGATGCATGTCGGCCTTACCCCATGATTTTCTAGGCTTAGGATTATCGTAGCATATCCGTTTTTCTTCCCCTGTCATGATACGAAGCAAAAAATTTCCTGTTCTGCCATTGAAGCAGCTTTTCACACATACAAAGATGCTCAGGACGTCTCTCAGTTTCAACTTGTATGACACCTAATGTTCGTGTTTTTGAATCGTCCTTAATGCTTTCAAACATTTTAAAACTGTTGTGTGATCAAGTTCTAATGATTTTGCAAGTTCAGCTAGCGTCTGACATGAATTTTTATGAAGTAATGCCTCCAATTCATCATCTTCAAACTGTGGCGCAACAGAGCGTTCTTCATCTTCAACGTCAAAATCATTATTTTTACAGCGCCTAAACCAATTTCTGCATGTTGTTTGTGACAGAACAAGAATTCTGTATTCTTCAGCTGCAGATTTCTTTTGAATCAAGTAGTACAGTAAGATTCCCCGCAAATACTCTTTTTTTGGCATGAAAATCAACATGTTAAGCCGGCCTCCCATGCATCCGAATTCCGATGTACGATATCCGAAAATATTTTTATTCATACGAATGATATAATATAATTCACATGCATCCGAAATTAATCTCATAGAAATCAAGTATAATAGAACCATGGAATTTATTACAAGATCAAGAAAAAATATTTTTAAATGACAACCATAGGTATATATCATAGAAAATATACATTGTATTATATTTTCTACATTTGACATTATATAACATTTATTTCACTGTAAACTTGTCAAACAATAACAATCGCAGTATATTAAAAATTTAAAAAGTGAGGTTAAAAAACTTACGATTTCGGACAAAAGTTAAAATTATTTCTACTTTTTCCGACATCGTATGAATTTTAAAATTTTCAGGTGAAAATGAGCGGTAAAATATTTAAATGTACCAATAGCGACACTTTCGGATCTTTGTATCGTCGGAATTCGGATGCATGGGACACCGGCATTAAACACTATTACAAAAAAAAGTATTTTACACTGTGACAAAATAACATACACCGAACTTCAAGGTTGCTTATAGTACTTCTTTATAAGAGCGTTACCATCTTAAACATACAGTTCTGGTAACGCCATCTGTTGGAAAACATGAAGAACTTATTCAACATCTCTATATTATTAGGCGATTTTTATTAATCAAGAACTGTATTATTTTTAGCAAAAAATTATAGCTTGGATAGGAACCAAATCGAGCTTCACGAAATATTAGGCGAAGGTCAGTTTGGAGATGTTCACATGGGAACGGTTAGATGTAAAGATGGCACGCTCATTCCTGTGGCTGTGAAAACTTGTAAAGGTGATGCTGATCTTGCCACGACAGAAAAGTTTCTGGAAGAAGCTTGTAAGTACAAGCCACGCTACTAAGCGTTGCCCCAACTATCATTGTTTTCATTTTCAGATATTATGCAACAGTTTGACCACCAGCATATAATCAAACTGATTGGAATCTGTTCGATCTCGCCGGTTTGGATCGTGATGGAACTGGCTAAGCTGGGCGAGCTGAGAGCTTACCTCCAGAATAATAAGAGTCGTCTAGATCTGGCGACTCTCCTACTATATGCATTCCAGCTATCTACGGCTTTAAGTTATTTAGAATCTAAGAAATATGTACATAGGGATATAGCAGCTAGAAACGTTTTAGTTAGTACGGATAAATGTGTTAAGCTCGCTGATTTCGGACTGTCGAGGTGGATGGGGGACGATCAGAGCTATTACAAGGCCTCCAAGGGGAAATTGCCAATTAAGTGGATGAGCCCGGAAAGTATTAATTTTAGGAGGTTTACGACTGCCAGTGATGTTTGGATGTTTGGTGGGTAGCACAGAGAGTATGAAGTATTTTATATTCACTCGTCAATTATTATTTCAGGTGTCTGCATATGGGAGATTCTAATGTTAGGTGTAAAACCATTCCAAGGTGTGAAGAACAACGACGTGATTGGTAAAATAGAAAACGGTGAACGTTTAGCGTTACCGCCCGATTGTCCCCCTCGCTTGTATTCTTTAATGTCGCAATGTTGGTCTTACGAACCAAGTAAAAGGCCTAGTTTTAAGGACATCAAGGAAATACTTCAGGAGATTTTATCTGAAGAAAGAAGTGCTCAACAGGAAACGCTACGGAGAGAAAACCGTAGAGCTGCCGCCATGTCTTGGGGCCCCAATGACGATTTCGCGCCCCCACCAAAGCCTAATAGGTATCCCATGCAAGGTAATGATCCATTTTAATTGTTTTAGAAATCTAACATAGCTATAAAAAACAAAATGGAATTATGAGAATTTTTAGGATTAAATTCAAAAATATTAATTATACTTAGGTGATTTTAACAAACCGGGAATTTCTAATATAAATGTGAACAGCCCATCTGGCATAGAATCAAATATTAGGTACAGAAATTTTGATTGAGTGTTAAGTAATGGCCATTCAATAGCACTCCTCCCAATCCATCTATGTATTCAGCAATATTTGATCCAGGAATTGCCGAACACCAATATATGAAATGTTGTACCGTCCTGCTGGAACCATATTCTGTCAAAGTTCATGTCTTAAGTTTTGTAAAGCAGGTACAATTTGATTACGTAACATTTTTTCGTACTTTTGGCCAATTAAATTACCATCAATTACAAGCGGACGAATAATGGTAGTATCAATAATACCAGCCCACATATTTATTTTTTGAGGTCTCTGGGTGTGTTCCTCTCTTATCCATTGAGGATTTTGATCACTCCAGTATCTCAAATTGTGACGATTTACTAAACCATTAACAGTAAAAGTACATTCGTCGGAGAAACAAATATTAATTATAAAGTTAGGGTCGTGGTCAGCTTTTGCCATTATTGTTTTACAAAAATCAAGCCTTCGATCATAATCATCTTCACTTAACTCTTGCAGTGAATGTATTTTGTTAGGTTTATAAGAGTTTATTTCTAAAATTCAGCAAATAGATGATCTACTACTTGCATCATGTTCTCTAGCAGCCTTACGCACAGAAGGTTGAGGATCTTCCACAAAATTGCAATACTTTAACAGTGTTATTGTCATTACGGTTCCAGTTTCTTCAAACCTGTGTATTGTTCTGCACACAGTTGATTTTCATACTGGCGTTCTGTTTGGAAACGTATTATTAAATAAATGAACCACTTGATCGAATGACCTTTTGAGATCGCCATATCCTCTCATCATCAAAATCGTCATTATTTCTCTTTCATTTAGAGCTCACTCACTATTAATCTAGATATCTTGCTGTTCTGGGACTTTTGGGACACAGTGTATATGTATTTAGCACAAATATGAGCCTATTTGATATTTTTGTTTCTCAAATTCAATTAAATTTTTTTCCGTTGTGAAAATTCTCTTTGTAAGCCTAAAAATCATACCCTAGAAGCATATTAGAATATGTGCCGCAGTTATTTGGTTTGCAGTAGATATACAGCGTGTCCCGTTTTTCAGGTTAACACCTCTGGAAATGTGAGAAGGCTGTGGACTTTCCGCAAGCCAATTCTTTTACAAATGTTACCCTGAAAGGAGGTTATATCCTACTAATCATTTTATTGATGTCACAAAAGCCTGGCCTACTACAATTTGTTAAAAGGCTCGTTTTTCCAGAAAGTGGTATTAGGCATTTTTTTTCAAAAAGATAATATTACCAGGCTATTCAACACCCATTAAAATACCCATATAACAAATTTGAACGACAAATGCCTTTTAAGTGTTTTTTTATGTGGTGTCAAACCTCGAAAAATAAGACAACTAAAAATTATAAATAAGTTTGTCAAAGATCGACATAAAAGTGAAAACAAATACCAATCGGACAAAGAAAGAATACAGGCACTATAAATTTAATACTGTTAATTATATTAATTAGTTATTATTAATTAATTATACAAATAATACCTTACAAAAAATGTAATGAATTATAAATACTAAGTTCTTAAACAAACGGATTGCAAAAAGTTAATCTAAATTAAGTTTTAGTTTTCTCCACCAAACCTCCTTACAGTCCATTTTTCCAATTCTTAAATTTAAAAACAATTTATACAGGGTAGGAATGTACCGATGGTCTATCTGAAGTTACGTGAGAGTGATAAAGTAAGCCATAGAAATCCGTGCGATAGAGAAAGATGGCTATAATGGAGGCGTCTAATAGTCACCGCCCGTTTCGCCCTTCCGCAAATAAGATCCACTTCTTATTTGTGGAAGGGCGAAATGGGCGTTGACTATTAGACGCCTTCATTATAGCCATCCTTGTCTATCACATGGATTTCTATGGCTTACTTTATCACTCTCACGTAACTTCTGATAGACCATCGGAACTTTCCTACACTGTATAGCCGCTGTGGAGTAATCTCTGCACAAGCTTGTCTTATGCAATTATTATTTATTAGGTCATCCAAATTCCTTGGTCTGTTTTTATAAACTTTTTGTTTTATACAACCCCAAAAGTAAAAGTCCATAGTGCGAAAAAACTAAAATTTAATTTAGATTGTTTTGCAATTTTTTCTTTAACAACTTAATATTTATAATTCATTACCTATATTTTTTTTACGTTAATTATTATTTCTGTTGTGGTTGCAATTAAGTGTTAAATTTAGAGTGTGTATTTTTTTTTTGTCCGATTGGTACATGTTTTCACTTTCATGGCAATATTTGATCTGCTTAATTTTTAGCTGTCTGACTTTTCAGTTTGGCACCACATAAAAAAAACAGTCAATAGACATTTGTCGTTCAAATTTGTTATATGGGTATTTTGATGGGTGTTGAATAGCCTGGTAATATTATCTTTTCGATAAAAAAAATGCCTAATACCACTTTCTGGAAAAAGGCCATTTTAAAAAATCATAAGCCAGGCTTTTGTTACATCAATAAAATGATTAGTAGAATATAACCTACCTTCAGGATACTATTTGTATTTTTAACCTGAAAAACACACTGTAGATAAAATTGAGAAAGTTAAAAAAAAATCATCTGTCCTTATAAAAGAAATTGAATTTATTATTTTGATATGCTCAAGTTTTACTAACTTTAACTTTACTTATTTAAGATTGTTAGAAAATAGATAATATTATCATTAGTATTTTTTTTAAATTAATCGAAAATGATATGGATTCTATTTATGGCAGTTATGATAAACAGTTTATATTACATAATTCCACATTATAGTAGAAGAAATACTGACACATTTTCTGTTCCAAACTCCCATACCAATTCAACAAAAAAAAAATACTTCTTTGGTTTTTAAATATTCTACATTTAAACATGCAATTTTACAAATTTTTATATAAAAGTTTGAATATCAAAAAAAAAATATATTCATATTTGTACAAGACTGGTCAAATAGTCGTCCCTTTTATCAAGTTTAATATCATAATAATTATGCAATTTATTCACTTGTTATTAATATTATAGGGTAGATTTCAAATAAAAGCTTCAATAAATTATGTTTTGGTTTCAGCTGTGGATTCAACAACTTTTGCATCGATGGAGGGACCAAACTCAGTATCCCAGACGTACATAGTAGCTCAAAATCCAGAAGTTTTAGCACATCTCATGAAAGAAAATGAGAAACGTGGATTCAGTCCAGCAGCATACAATACACCAGCTTCGGTATTTAATACAGTATCTGTTGATTTTCAAAAGAAAGACGATGCTCCCGAACCCGTCTTAATCACCCAACCCATTCCCATCCAAAACCTCCACAAGTTAGATCCGGAGGTTCCAGAAAACGCAGCCGGAGTCGATCAAATAAAAAAAATTGGTACTTTAGAACGGACCCCCTCTCGTACTAGTACTGGAAGCGCCACCCCAAAAATGAATTCCCTAGAGAGGAAATCTTCTGAGAATTCCTCTCCGAAATTGAATTCTTTAGAGAGAAATACTCACTTAGTCCATAGTTCACACAGCAGCTTAGACAAATCGGGTGTCTTCAGTCCAAAATTGGGATCGTTAGAACGTAAATCGCGAAACACTTCCCCTAAAATGGGATCCTTAGAGAGAAACGGTAGTCAGACAGCTGCGTTTTCCCCAAAAATGGGATCTCTGGATCGCAACACCCATATATCTCCCCAGCAGGTCTTTTACGACCCAGAAAACGTACCCAATTACCATCCAAACCCTGTGATGTACCAATTTAGTGATAAAACCAAAGAGATGCAACAGTTCGAGGAGAGTATTTATGACTTTGGTGGCGCTGACGTTAAGAGTTGCGCTCATAAACAACAGTTTTTCGTTCAGAAAGCCACTGCCGTGCAGATCGATAATAAGTTTCAGGAACTGCGGCCACAGGTTCGAATCAAGCATGGCTTGATTACGAATGATTTTGTGTGCTTTTTTCATATATAGCTGAATGCTGTGGTATCTTAATCCGATCCGTTGAGATTTATATGTTTTTATGTGGTTTGCCTAAAATTTGTAGTAGGTACTAAAGATACTGAAATGGCGAGTTGTGGTTGTTTTACCATTAATTGCATGTCATTTACAAGTTTAATTTTTTCACTTGTCCACATAAAAATTTATAAAAATTAATATGGCTGTGAAAAAGCAAGCGATCATTATTAAAAATTTAATTATTTGCTAATATTCATTTTTTTTTGTTTTATTGGCATGAAGCATGGTTGTAAATTGTTTTTATTAAATTTTTTATGTTGTTCATAATACATATAACTTAACGATAAATGAAGGAACATGGTTTCTTCCACATCAATTTCAGCCTCAATTAAAATTTCAAGGTTTCAAGGTCCAATCTATAGAGTGAAAAAAGAGGCTTAAAAAAAGACTTAAATATTACAGCAAATTTTATGTATTTCCTTTAGAAAAATACTTAGTAAATGAAAACCCAAGTGATTTCCCCAGCAAAGTCATGAACAATTTTTTTTAAACAAAAAAACTGCAAAAAAATTACATTTTTTGGGTTTTTTATAATATCTCGGAAAATGAAGGAATCGTCTTACTCTCAATAGGACTTTTGTAGAGAATAAAAAAAAACTATAAAATGGTTTTTTGTGCGACCCGATCGGGTAATTTTTTACAGAGAAAATCCGGAAAAGCCTCTAAAATAGACCTTTTTCCAAAAATTCATAACTCGATCAAAGAGTGACCACAAAATCCGCCTGTTTTTGAGACTTTGACAGAAACGCCAGGAAAATTCCTAAAAATATTCTAAAAATATCCAAAAACTCATGAAAAATGATAATGAGCATCACTTTCAGTTTTTCAAAAATTTTCGAAATTCACCCTTATTTAGGGGTTGAAAGGACAAAAAAAGTGAACAAATTAAGAATCATCAACAGTTGTAAAACCCCAAATATTTATGTCATTATCCAAATAAATTTGTGAACGTGAAAATATCTAGTTTCGTATTTGATACGATCTTGTCCGGATTGAAAATCAACCCTTAATATCCCTAAAGGGGTGAAATCATCCTAAACGCCTAAGAATGCAAAAAATATATTAAAAGTTAAAATTTTTTTTCCTTTTCTTTTATACGTGATAATTGAACCGTTAATAACCCACAATCACTACATCCAAAGGAAAATACCCCTAAATGAGAGTAAAACCACCCCTAAGTTCAATCATATAAGTTTAAAAGAAAAAGAAAAAAATTGTAACAATATATTTTTTGCATTTTTAGGCATTTAGGGGATGATTTCACTCCTTTAGGGATATTAAAGGTTGACCGCATCAAATACGAAACTAGATATTTTCACGTTCATAATATTATTTTGATAACGACATAGAAATATTTGGGGTTTTACAACTGTTGATGATTCTTGATTTGTTTACTTTTTTCTCTTTTCAGCCCCTAAATAAGGGTGATTTTCGAAAAACTGAAAGTGATGCTCATTTTCATTTTTCATGACGAGTATTTGGATATTTTTATAATATTTTTAGGATTTTCCCTGTTGCCTCTGTCAGTCTCAAAAACAGGCGAAAAAATGGCTTTTTTTGCAGTCACTCTTTGATGCTGGAAAAACGATCTTATGGAAACGACAGATAATAATATGTAGTTTAATCGTGCGCCAGCTGATTTCTGTCCGATGCATAGTTTTTGCACAATTGCATTAAAAACAAATTAGGGTATTTTTGCACAGCGCCGTGATTTATCAAAAATGGTCCATTTTAAATTCTGAAAACGGCATCCGAAAGTAGATGATAAAATCTCCAATTTGCATAACTCGGATTTTCGACTGGGTGATGGGAAATATGCTAAAATTGCCCTTGAAAGTCCCCCGAAACGATCGAAAGTACCCTCCACGTTGGTAGTGGGAGAAGCAGCGAGCGGAGGACTCTGGCTTGAGCGTACTTTCGATCGTTTCGGGCGACTTTCATGGGTATTTTCAGCATATTTCCCATTACCCAGGCGAAAATTCGAGATATACAAATTGGAGATTTTATTGTCTACTTTCAGATACCGTTCTCAGAATTTAAATTGGACCATTTTTCTTCGCCACGCTGTGCAAAAAAGACCTTAATTTGTTTATAATGTAATTGTGCAAAAACTATACATCGGACAGAAACCATCTTGCATACGATTAAACTATGTATTATTATCAGTAATTTTCCACAAGATTGTTTTTCCAGCTTCAAATTTGACAGTTATAATTTTTTTAAAAAAGTCTATTTTAAGTAAAAAATGAACTGATCCGATCACATAAAAAACCATTTTATAGGTTTTTTTATTCTTTACAAAGGTCCTATTGAGAGTAAGACGATTTGATCATTATTTTTCGAGATATTATAAAAAAAAAACAAAAAATGTAATTTTTTTGCAGTTTTTATTGTTTAAAAAAAAAATTGTTCACGACTGCTGGGGAAATCACTGGGTTTTCATTTACTTAGTATTTTTCAAACGGTAATACATGAAATTTGCTGTAATATTTAAGTGTGCCAAAAAATCTCTATTGGTTGGCATACTATTAAAAATATTCAATCGAAAATAATCACGATAGCCAAAATTTTTATCTTTCCACTCCCTTAAAAAGCACAGAAAAATAAAAAGGGATTTTGGTAACTCGATAATTTTTCCTAATATTTCGATAAACGAAATCGTATATTTTAACTTAAATAGTTGAAAAAATTTCGGATATATGCTACACTTACCTTTAATTTTTACAAAATTAATCGAATAATTTAAAAGAGGCCTACGATTTCAAGGCCACATCGTTAGTTAGATAATTTAAATTACTCGGCCAACATAATATTTGTTTGATTTGCTTGAATCACACGTATACTGCACGGTTTTACTTTACTAAATATTGTAGATACATTTTGTGTTTACTTAAAGCATGTTGCACCTTTTTCCATGTACATTATCATTATGATAACTTTTGCGAATTCAGATATTATGTTAATTTTTTAGTAAATAGTATACAGGCATACGTGTCGAAAATGAAGAAGAATTTTTTATACAAATTTAAGAATATCTTTTTATATAAACGCATGTCTGTTAATTTGTTTGAAATATATTTTGAGGTACAACTTGTTTCGACACCTCATATTTCAACGCTTAGGCCTTCACAGGGCTCTATAGCAAATAGGCAACCAACAATACATTTTTATAGATTTTATTACACAGTTTGTCTAAATATGAATTCATGCACAAATAACAGACTTTCCCCCATTTTAATGCAGATTTTCTATAAAATGGAGTTAGTTTGAAACTCATAGAAATTTAACGCTGAAGACACACAAACGTATCCACTATCACTAAACACTAAAATAAATCATTTTATAAGACACAAACACAACTTTAAATTTTATTAAAAAATTAAATTTAATAAAACACTACAGGGTACAATTTCTATTTCGATTGCAGTAAAAACTGATATTTCACTTAAAAATTTTTGGAATTGCCTTATGTATTACAAACATCTCGTAAACTGGCAAATAAATAAAATAAATATAATAAAAAGAAGTAGTGACAGCATTGATCACTGATTTCACCGAATTAACGTTAACCGTTGTCTTTTTGCCCACCTAATGCAAAATTATTAAAAATTATTTAAAAAATCATTTCGTCTACATTAGTATTTTTATTTACGTTTTATGTGATATTGGTTTTTATAAAACACTGACATAAAAAAAACTATGTCAAAAGGCAGTAATACAAAAGCAATTTATTTTTACAAAATTATTTTCTATTGTAGTTTTGATCTCTGCCATTGTCAGCTTCATACAATTGGTTTAAAAATTTAAAAACTGATAAATATGCACGTACAACCAAATTCGTTCCCTGATGGGGAACACATACTATTCCGTTAAAAAATTGAGCCCTTAGTTAAAGATACACCCTGTATAAGATATTCTAAAACTTGATTGAGCCAGACACTTCATTGTTGACATCGTTGTGATACACCCTGTATAGTTTTTTATGTCGCAAAAGTTTTAACCAATGAAATTAATATTTTTTCTTGGTGGTGGTGAAAAACGTTATATTTGTTTTAGGCGACTTCTTCCCAACATTCTCTTTATGGTGATCAACTCTTAGAAAATGTATGGGTCGACCCAACGGCTAACTTCAACAATATCCTGAAACAGAAACTGCGTCAACAACAGTTGGAATCCGAAGAGGATTCCAAATGGCTGGCCGAATCCGAGACACATTTGGTAGGTCAAACGAATAAAACTAAATTATCTTTCAATTTCTATAATATGTATTCAAATATATTTTTTAATTGTATTTTTTTCAGAAGAAGAGGTTAAGCATCTGTTCGCCAATTGACCAAGAACCAACTCAAGACGCATATTCTATGACTTCGCTTCCAACTAGTCCAAGTTACGTAAATAACGCGAGTCCCGCCACCTATCAATTGAGCAGCAATTTGGGGGCATTGTCTCTGAGTGGCAATGGAAATGGTATTCAGAGCAGTACAGGATCCGTTAGTAGCAGTAAGAGCCATTCACCACCAGGGTCTCTTACCAGTACCATGACTGGAAAACATCAGATCAGTGGATCGGAGGGTAGTGATTCTGAAAAATCGAAGGTAAGTCAAGGAATATGCAGGGTGTAACTTTGATTTTGGGTCATATTTATATGGAGGCTGCTTTCGATCTTTAGGATTCCTAGAAACTGAATTTTATTACTTTTTTTTTTTTAGTAATTTTCATACCGTACGACTGGACAGGGTAGTATAGCATCAAACGACGATTCTTGCTAACCACTAGTCCATATCCTCTCCCAATCGTAATTGATTTGTATACATGTTTTTTTTCATAATACCACATAGAAATTTAACAATGAAGACACACAAAGTACACGAAAAAACCACCTTGTAAACCGATGAACTAAGAACTAAAATACATATTCAGCCATACTTGTTCAATTTGGCTCTTTGTTTTTTGCCCTCTAAATACTCTGTTGTCATACCTCATCAGGTGTATTGATATTACCTAGTTCAGTAAACCAACAGTTCCACTTTGATCTCATTCATCCTTTTTCGGTGTCCTTGGATGGAGAAATGCTTGATCAGGGCCATAAAAATTTTTTAACTGGACGTTATAACTCGACTATTCCTGATTAAAAATTCTGGGAACACTTACGCCTAACAGAACTGACCCTTAAAGTTACTCCATATACAGGGTGTGTTTAAATGAAGTAGCAAAAATGGTACCAGTGAATGTAGAGTCAAAAATAAGAGGATTGAAGTAAAAATGCCTTATATGAAAGTTGCACCCCTGAGGCGATATAGCCTCTTAAAGGAGGGGATTGAAAGTCACATTTTATTTTTTTTTCTTTAACATGAGGAATGCTAGAGACACGAAACTTGGTATGAGCATCCTACTAATAAAGAGAACTTTTCAATATTTTTTCGATCATTGGCGTATTTTATAAAGGAGTGAAACAGTCAACCCCATTGTAATATTTTATTAGAAATTATTTATATGAGGCAAATTATTTAATTAAAAATATTTATTGGGAAGACTGATTTATTGCGCAACTTTTTTACCTCTTGTAATTTTATGATAAAACCTATAGTTTTCTAGTATAAAAATTAGATGCGTCATCGTTCACCAAAGGGGTAATTGCGAAAATTTGTAAAAATAAAGTAGGCGGATGTCATAACAAATAAATTGTTATTTATTATATTAATAAATTGGCACTTTCTGTCAATAAGCTGGTAATTTAATAATAACGTTAAGAATAATTTGCTATTAACTAATGAAAAATGTTTGATAACTTATGACTATGAGACATGTATTAAGTAAAATTATTTATCTGAAATAAAATTTAATACAGTGCAACCTCTTTAATCCGAACACACATTAATCCGATCACACGCTAATCCGAACGGCCAAATCTGAACGATGACAAGAAAAGACTGGATCGCTTCGCACGTACGCGTAGTAAGTTTGTTTGCCTATAGCGAAGAACCTGTTGCGTGTCGTGTTTTGTGTAACAATTTTGGAGTTTTTTTTGGAAGAAAAATAAAAAATGTGAAAAGCGTAAAATAATACATATATTATGTATATGTAACTACATGTTTATGTTTTACCTTATATAAGTTTTATGTGTCTTATATAATTTATATTTATATTGTTATAATAAAATGTGTATGTACTTACATAATAGATGTATGTACAAATCTTTATAGTATGTTCGATAATCCGAACGATTCGATAATACGAACAATGCCTGACAATGTGGTGTTCGGATTAAAGAGGTTGCACTGTACAAACGAAAAACAAGAAATGCAAAATTAAATTTAAAGAATATTCTCGAAATAATTTCCATTTTGCTGCAAGCATAACTTAATACGTCTGTTGAAGATATAACGCACTCGCACAAACAGTTCTTGGTTATTATGAAGGTCATCTGCTGCCTGAAATATTCTTAAGCATAGTCCTTCTAAGGAGGCAACAGGAGTGGCATAAACAATACTTTTTATGTGTCCCCACAAAAAGAAATCCATAGGCGTTAGGTCAGGTGAACATGCAGGCCAACAAACAGGGGCGTCATGACCACGACCAATCCAGCGGGTAATTTAAATTTAACCATTCTCTAACGGCAAGTATACTATGTGCAGGCGCCCCATCGTGCATATACCACATCACTTGACGTGTAGCAAAGGGTACATCCTCAAGTGATGTTGGAAGATTTTCGTTCAAAAATCTAAGTCGGCCACTCCAAACCTGTGTGGAAGAATAAAAGGACCTACTAGAGTATTTCCTACAATTCCCATCCAAACGTTTAAACTTAAATTATGTTGACATCTTGAAACAAATATTTCATGAGTATTTTCTTCCGACCATGAATGAACATTATGAAGGTTTACTGCACCAACTCTAGGAAAATTTGCTTCATCGGTGAAAAGTATATTCATTAGGAAATTTAAGTCATGCCTGGAAATATTAATGTAGTATCGACAAAAATCCACGCGGTTAGGTAAATCAGGGTCATTCTTGTACGGGTTGATGGTGAAAATGGTATAAAAGATTTTCATGCTACATTCCACACAAGACTGTGAGAAACTTGCAGTTGCCTGGACACCTGTCTTGTGCTTGTACCACAGTCTTGTTCTAGATGTTCCAGTATAGCTTCCTCAGTTTCATCAGTTCCGACAGTACGCCTTCTTCTGGCACCCTCACGATTGGGCTGAACTTTACCAGTTTCGCGAAGCCTTCTTCCACCGAGGCCAATGTATGTCTATAAGGAATCGGTCGGTTTGGATATCTTTGGTGGTATAATCTTACTGCAGCGTTACTATTTTTTCTGGATTCGGAATACACTGAGCATGTCGACATATTCGTCATTGGTATAAATATTATTTGCCATAATTATTCTGATAATAAATTAATCAATTGGTACTTATTATTGGTTGACAGAAAGTGTCAATTTATTAATATGATAAATAACAATTTATTTGCTATGACATCCGCCTACTTTATTTTTACAAATTTTCGTAATTACCCCTTTAGTGAACGATGACGCATTTAATTTTTATACTAGTCTTTATCAGTTTTATTGAAAAATTACAAGAGGTAAAAAAAGTTGCGCAATAAATCGGTCTTCCCAATAAATATTTTTAAATAAATAATTTGCTTCATATAAAAAATTTCTAATAAAATATTGCAGTGGGGTTGACTGTTTCACTCCTTTATAAAATACGCAAATGTTCACACAAATATTGAAAAGTTGTCTCTTTATTAGAAGGATGCTCATACCAAGTTTTGTGTCTCTAGCATTCCTCATGTTACAGAAAAAAATTAAAATGTGAATTTCAATCCCCTCCTTTAAGAGGGTATATCGCCTCAGGGGTGCAACTTTCATATAAGGTATTTTTACTTCAAATCCTCTTATTTTTGGCTCTACATTCACTGGTACCATTTTTGCCACTTCATTTAAAATCACCCTGTATATTGTATGTATAATTTATATTGTATTTGTATAATTTTTTTTACAAACTTTGTAGGAAGCGGCATCCCAGAACCCTACTGCCAATTTGGATAGGACACACGATCGTGTGTACGAGTGTACGACTGATGTGGTCAGAGCCGTTATGGCGCTTTCCCAGGGTGTCCAACAGGCCATCGCCGATCAGTACCTCGATTTGGTGAAGAAAGTTGGTTTGGAGCTTAGATCTCTCCTAGCCAGTGTGGATGCTATCGTTATTGAATTTCCGGTGTCTTCCCAAAGAGAGGTTGAAATGGCGCATAAGGTTTTGTCCAAAGATATGGCAGAATTAGTCAATGCCATGAAACTGGCACAGCAGTACAGTAATACTACATTAGATGCCGAATACAGGAAGTATGTTTATATTAATTTTATATTTTAATAGCTTGTTTTTCGATTTCGAGGTAATTTTAGAAAATATTTATAATAATTTTATAATTTTTATGGGGATTGTATTCTTCAAGGAGATGGATAAAAAGTAATTGAGGCGTCTCAGGTTTAATTTTTAAGAAAGCATCATTTTTTATTTTTATTTTTGCGAAAAAAATATACATTGTCTGTCATCTGGGAATATTTCTGCTTTACTACTAGATATACAATGTTCTATTCACATAATAAAAATCAATACTAGAAATGATGGCAAACTCCGCCGACGCGGAGTTGACCTTTCACTGCACGCGGCATGAGCACCGTTGCGCAGTGCTTTCCTCGCCGGTTGGTAAATATAACATTTTTTGGAACGCTCTATATATAAAAGTCATCAACATCGTAACTTTATCTCTGGACCGTTCGAAGTTCAATGCAATATTTTTAGATATCCTGTGTATAAAAACCTATTTGAATTTTCTTCTTATGGAAAGATTTAAAAAGAAAACTATAATGAAAGTAAAATACGGTAATAAGTAAAAAGAAATTCTTAGGACCATCAAACCATCGACCTCCTGTTTGCAACGTGACACTTTTACCGCTGAGCTCATCGCCATAGAGTTTGTTTGTATCGGTATTTGAATTCCCGTTCATAGCCGAAGTAAACAAACATTTTCATAATGTTAAAAAGTGCATTTTTCTGCCGTAAAATTGTCCACGGGGAACGGCGGAATCGGAAAATTAAATTTTGACAATTCTGACGTTTCTACCACGGCGACAGTTTGTATCAAAATATTATCATCTTAAATTTTGTTACATTTGACCTAATAAAAATTGAGGGCGGTCCAGGTAGCAGAAAGGGGACGTCGCCAGGTTGCGGAAGCTACTTTTATGCAAAGAGAAAAGTTCCGGCTCCGTCTCGGAACAGAGCACGGGTGCCGGCCATATCCATAAAGGAAAATAGGACGCCGCGAAAATAGTGTTTTGGGTGAAATAATCCCGGCTTAACAAAAATATTGGGGTTTCGGGAGAAAGATGCAAAAAGTAAATATATTAAAAATGGCAGCCAATGAGCCGGCAGTGGTTCTGTCTCAGAATAAAAAACTTTGTAATTATTGCAAAAACTCGGTTAAAAGTGGCCCAAAGTGCAATGTGTGTGGGCTTATAAATCATCCTAGTTGTGCAACAAGGGTAAAATCCTGCTGTGGAACAGGATTAGGTGATAATAAACCTGATGATATGTGTGCAGCTGTTTTTAATGCAGAAGAAACTCATCTGAAAGAAGAAAATAAACTATTGCAACAGATTATCTGTGACAAAGAAGTTATAATTAATGATAAAATTGAGATAATTAATCTACTCCAACAAAAGGTTATGTTATTAGAGGAAAAATTAAATGGTTTTCAAACCATAAATTATAATTCAGATAAAATCCTGGACAATTCAAGCAAGGTAAAAAGTGTAGTCGATACACAAAAACAGAGTTTTGCTGATAAGGTGAAAACTAGAAATAAAAAGCAGGAGTCAATAAACGATAAAAACCAGGAGGTAAATATAAACAGAAATTTGGATATTTTACAGAGTGAGCAAAGAAAGATTATGCGATCAGTAATAAATTTAGATGTGGAAAGTGAGAACAGAAGTTACCAGAACGACGACAACCAGGGAAATTATGTACAAAAAATAAACAAAGTGAAAACATCAAAAATAGGAGTGTCAGAACATGGTGGGAAATTTAAAGGTCTTAACCCAAAGGTATGGATGTATATTTACCGTGTCATTCCAGAAGTTGCCGAAAGTGATATAAAGGAATTCTTAGCCGAAAAAACAGGGGACCACGCAGAAAATTTTGTTGTGAAGTTGATTAAGACGACAAAGACAAATCTTAAGTGTTTTATGGTAGCAGCCAACTTCAAATATAAAGATGACTTCTATAATCCATCCTTTTGGCCTAGAGGTGTTGGATATCAGCGGTTTAATTTCAGAACGGATAACCCACAGGATAACGACTCATCTGCACAAACACAACCAAATTCTTTTTTATAGATAGGGTCGAAAATCATAATGTACATTCTAGTAGGGATATGAAACTATATGAAGTAAGTGTAATTCATCAGAATCTGCAATCTATTGGTAATGCTGTGGATGGCTGTAATCGTTTTCTGAGTTGCCATCCAACTTGTAAATTTCTCTGTGTAACTGAACACTGGAAGAGCCAGGAGCAATTGACAAACTATGGTATACAAAATTACAAGTTAATATCCAGTTGTTGTAGAGAGGTGAATAGACATGAAGGAAGCGCAGTTTATGCGTCTAATGAAGTACAGTGTCATGAAAGATCCGACATAAAGTCGTTAGCGGAAGTAAACAATTTCGAGTGTTCAGCTATAGAAGGGGACTTATATGGTAGAAGGTTCATTGTGGTTTCAATATATAGACCGCCGGATGGAGATAGCATGGTGTTTCTAAGTAAACTGGAGACTATGCTAATGAAAATATTTGATGAGGATGCTATAACTATTGTTGCGGGTGATTTTAATGTTGAGCTTATTGTGGATAATCAGAAGAAAAATCAATTGTGTTCTTTGTTAAACTCATATGGTTTATATCAAACAGTCTTTGAAAATACCCGAATCACCTCTAATGGTGGTTCGTGTATCGATAATATCTTTATTAACGGTGATACTACGTATGTTTCGGAAGTGTTGCATCCTAAGATATCAGATCACACAGCTCAAAAAGTGATTTTCAACATTGAGGCGATTTCAAATGAAGGTTTCAGTTATAAAAAAATATTTAGTGGTAAAAACAAAGATCGATTTAGGGAGAGTTTACAATCAACTGAGTGGAATGATGTCTACTCAGTGAGGGAGCAAGACATAGACAAGCAGTGGAATGGTTTTATGAAAGTTTTTTTGAGGCTGTTTGAGGCCTCCTTTCCAACGAAAAGGTTTAGAAATAAAAAAACTAGAGATAAGTGTCAGTTTTATGAGGTAGATTCGGATATCCAAGAATGTAAGAGACAGTTGGATATATGGTATACAATCAGTAATGTTCGCAAGGAATTTAATCAAGTTTATAACAGTGTAAGAAACAATTATAATAAATTGTTAATGAATGCTAGAAGTAAGTCTTATAGAAATAGAATTATGGAATCAGATAACAAGAGTAAATGTGTTTGGAGTATAGTGAGAGAAGTAAAAGGTGAGGTAAAAGATAGATGTGTTATGATACCAGGAAATTCGCAAGCTATTGCAAATGATTATTCTAATTTTTTAAAAGAAATTGTTTCACATCAGCTGATAGGGATACCCAATTCATGTAGTCCTAGTAGAATACAGCAGGCTGAGCAATGTATACTTTTAGATTATACAACTGAGGCTGAGATATTAGAATTAAGTAAAAAAATTAAAAATAAGATGAGCAGTGGTGAAGATGGAATCCCTGCAAACATTGTAAAACAGGTCATGTCCTTAATAACCAGACCACTTATGTATATTATTAATAATTCCTTAAAGTATGGTATGTTTCCTGACCAATTAAAATTAGCTGTAATAACCCCAGTGTATAAAAAGGGTGATCCTAAAAATATGTTAAATTATAGGCCTATAAGTTTATTGTCAGCCTTTGCTAAATTATTTGAATTAATAGTTTATTCCAGAATAATGAACCATATGTCATCTGCTCAGTTATTCTCTGAAACCCAACATGGTTTTTTAAAGGGCAGGTCTACGAGTACAGCCATTTATCATTTTAATTATAAAATTGTACAGTGCCTTGAAAATAATGAAGTGCCTCTGGGGCCTTTCCTTGACTTGTCACGGGCATATGATTGTGTAGACCATACTATATTGATAAATAAGTTCAAACAATATGGGATCCGTGGCAGTCTTCTGGATTGGCTTCGGTCATATTTAACGAATCGTAGACAAAAGGTCACTATTACTAAAAGTGGGATAACCTGCTCTTCGATGTATGTACCAATTACAACTGGGGTTCCTCAGGGGAGTATCCTGGGACCGCTGTTGTTTTTGATTTTTGTAAATGATTTGCCACTACACATTGACGGCACAAAGGGTTATTGTGTCCAGTATGCTGATGATACAACCGTTCTTATTTGTGGGTCAAATTTTAGTGATATACGAGAAAAAATTGTATATGTTTACAATAGAATACTTGATTGGTGCAGTAAAAATAAATTAGTTGTAAATCAGGATAAGACAAAAGTTATGTTATTTAAAACAAGACAAAGCAGCTATATATCTCCGGACAGTTTCAAATTAAGTAACACTATGAGCTGCAAAGTGGAAGAAAATATGAAGTTTCTTGGAATACACTTAGATGACACACTTAGTTGGTCCTTTCATATCGAGTGCATTGAAAAAAGGTTGAATAGTGTATGCTATAGTATTAGGGTGTTGACTAAGTATTTGGATCTCAAAACCCTCAAAGTGATTTATTATGCAAATTTTGAGTCTGTATTCCGATATGGAATAATTTTCTTTGGTCAAAGTATCCACATAAATAGGTTGTTCATTTCTCAAAAAAGAACTTTGAGGTGTTTGTTGAGGCTCGCACAAAGTGTGTCTTGCCGTGGAAGATTTAGGTCAAATGGTTTATTAACAGTTTTTGCCGTATATATCCAAGAAATTTTACTTTTCACTTTTAAAAATAAGAATTTATTTAGGGAATGTTTTCAAACTAACTTTTACTATACTAGAAATACAAATTTAATCTTTCCCATACATCATTTAACATTAACTGAGAAGAATGTTCATTATACTTGCATAAAATTCTATAATAAACTCCCTCAAGAGGTGAAAAATACCCAGAGTTTATCCCAGTACAAAAAATATATACACAAAATGTTATTAAATTTGGAACCATACAGTTTAAATGAATATTTACAAAATTAATGTTTGCTTTAACAGTAATGTATCATTGATCATCCATCTATGTTTTCTTTGTTTTGTTTTGTTATTGTTATATTTTTGACTACTATTTCATCTGATGGTGTAAACTACACTACTGTTTTGTACATTGCACTGTTATTTTGAAATAAAGTTGTGTTATTATTATTATTATTATTATTATTAAGTAAAAAATACCCTTTGAAAACGTTCCGTGGCGACGAAGAAAGAACGAAACTCACGCATAAAAGCTGATCAACCCTCGATCGGTCTTCGGAAAAAAGCTTTTGGTATTTTAAATCGATCCTCAAAACGTCCGTCGGTGGACGTTCCCATTGGGTTTTAACCCTCTCCCAAAAATTTGCCATTTTCGTCGAGGAACCCCGGGAAAACAAAAATTTACTTAAGAAAATGCGGAAAATATTCCACCAAAATACCTCCAAGCGGCAAGCGAAAAAAGCCTTTACCGCCCTAAATAGTCCCTTTTTCGAGATCTGTGCGGGAGTGAAAACCATTTGCAGCAACTATGTTGATTGCCATTTAATTTTTCTTATACATCAAGCTGAAAACATTGAAACTACTTTTTGTCTACCTCTCCAGAAATTCAAAACTATTGTAATTGGCTTACTGTGTATAGAATATTTTAAACATAAAAATTTCTGTACTAAATACTTTTCATTCGAAAATTAACAATTTTTTTTTTTTAGGGGCATGCTAGCTGCTGCACATGTCTTGGCAATGGACTCCAAAAACCTGTTGGATGTGGTGGACGCCATAAGGATACGATATCCCCAAATCGACAGAACCCTGTTCAAGTCAAACGAGTCGCTTCCCGAATCGGATCAAAGTCAAGATTCGGCCGAAAAAAGCGACTTCTCTAAATCCACAGAAATTCCTTCCACATATCCCCCTCCCTTGTCCCCCACTCCAGTAAGTTGCACTTTCGTTCCGATGTATAGTAATAATATTCAGTCCACTTCATCCTCTAATTTAAGTACAAATCAAACAGTTGATAGTTAGTGTAATGTCTTATTTTCTCAGCAGCTATTATACTTTATTTTTATTGAGAACGAACTGTATCGGCCTTTTTTCCATGAATTTTTTCTGTAGTTACATAAATTGATCTAAAAAATTTTTTCATTTGGGCAGGGAAGCCTTAATTTTACAAAAGAGTGTGTCAATTTTTTTATAAGGATGTTTGGTATTTTTGATAGTGTGGTTTGTTTTTCACGGGTAAATTTAATTTTTGTGAGGATTGAAGGTATTTTTTAACCATGGCGGTGACCGTATAAATTTTAAAGTTCATGTGTGGCTTGATGTGCATTTACATCTTATCTATTTACTACAAACGTGTAGACCGACTATATTACTTTTTGTATATATACGTAGCAGGTTAGGATAGGTTCGTATAACTGGTAACAGTGTAATTTTACTTTTAGTTGCTGACGACGAGGTAAAAGTAATTTAGCCGATTTGCTCATTGTAGTTTAATAACGCTATATCGCCTCTTTAAAAGAGGAATTTTAATGGATGTCAAGAATTTGCCACTAACAGTACAACGTTTATTATAAATTACACATTTAGCATATTAATAGTTTTATCAAGTGTAAAAGATATTTATAGTCAATATTTTAAAATTTGAAGTGACAAAATTAATATTCTTTTGTGGTTTTCTATGTAGTCCAGTATACAACGGTAGAAATGGGGTATTACCTCCGAATTCTTGACACACCCACCGATTTTCATGAAAATTGGCAAGTAAGCTCATTTTACCCTCCTTTACAAAAGTTACATATCCATAATGTGTGCTTATTGTTTTTAGGGGGTGAAAACTATCCCTTCTTGCAAAAAACATAAAAACCATAAATTTAAGTGTTATGCAGTGGCGGCTCGTGAAGGAGGACTCTGGGACTCCGCCCTCCCAGATATTTTCAAACTGTGAACTTAAAATAATTTATTTATTTAAATCAATAAAAAATCTAAATAGCATACATTCCATATGCCTTGGATGTTAGGTTGATTACATAAAGTGCATGTACTCCGTGAACGTAGCTCAGATTTATGCCCATCTGCCATCTATGATCGTACCAAAGAGTTATGTTTGACTGCGCGCGCAATCCCCACTCCACCGCGGATGGTAAAATCTGAGTCCATCGTGCAAGCAAATTTCTACATATGATGCGACAAATTGGCACGTGGAGGGGATAGGTGACGATAGGCTCGCGCGCTTTGTTTTGGACTCCATGTGGCAGTAATCCGTTTCACTGCAGTGTGTTTATACGTGTTTTGTTTTTGCTTTGGCGCTTTTTAAGAAATTATATTTTATAAGTTTAAGGTTAAAATGAGGGTTTGTGAAATAAAAAACTTGTTATTAGTAATTTAAGTTTAGAGGAAAAAGTCAAATTGAAAAATAACAGACGTCCAACACCAGTGTTGAATTTAGTTCAGGTGCAGAAAAAGTGCAAAAGTAGGCCGGCTTTTATTCGCAAATTTGATAAAAACATTTATGATAAGACCCTATGGTTGTGTTTCTGACTTGAAACATTTACCGGACAAAATTAAGAAACATGAAAATTCTCCTAAACACAAAAATAACTTGACGAGTTTTTTACTTTTAGGAAGAGTAAATATTGCTTCATGTTTAAGCAGTGCTTATACAGAACAAATAAATAGTCATAACCAAACAGTTAAGAAAAATCGATCGCTTCTTTCAAAAATTATAGATATCTTAAAACTATGTGGTATGTAACCTTCCCCTTCGTGAACATAATGAAAAAAGTGGCTCGGTAAACAAAGGGATATTTTTAGAATTGATAGACTATAGTGCAAAAATTGATCTCGTTTTAGATAAACATCTTAGTGATGCCCATGGTTACCCCCTACACACTGACAGTATTCATTTTGGGGTATGTACTTGCAAAACACAATGACCTTGAAATTCCTCAAAAATTTTTAGTCGCAGCTCCTATCATATACGTATTCTCTTTTCAAAATGCGCTCCCCCCATAGTCAAACCCACGGGCCGCCACTGGTGTTATGTCAATAGAATAAGCATTCTCTTATGTTTTGAATAATAATTTATTATTTGTAGCAACATTTCAACTCTTAAAATCCACCCCTTATGAGAAAAAAATTTATAATGAATGACTCATCACTGTTTATAATATTACTGATGATTATATCATCTAAAGAACCATCATCACTGTGGTCTTCCTCTGTTTGGACACGTGCGTGTGTGTGTTTGTGCGTGTATTACGCCTCGGAAACTATCCAAAATTAAACCATTTACACGATCCGACAATTTTCACTGAATAATACAATTTGATTTTCACAATAACTTTTTTAATTTTTAATATTTTTCATCGCTCCAAAAAGCAATTTGCAGGGAATTGCAAGAGCTACAAATCAACCTTTATAGTTCAAAGGTCTTGAACTCTTCGTTTTGAAAGATTTTTAGGTTTTAAGGGTGGTCCTTACACTAAACTAGAAAACTAATATCTGTTAATTTTTGCTCTACAGAAAAATTGAAAGAGAGTAAAAATATAAAAAAAATACCTTTAATTTTGAACTCTTGAATTTTTCACGTATCTTGTTTAATTTTTGAGTTATTTTGAAAAAAAAGATTTTTTTTTAAATAAACAAAATTTTTTTCATTTCAAACTTTTAATTTAGACATTCTATACTGGTCAAACTTGCAAAGCCAATCATTAGTACCTAAATAAAGTCGGCTGTACATGGATTACGCTTAGTTTCTATTTTTATGGTTCACCCATAGATTTTATTGTTGATTTTTTTCTTAAAAAAATGAGATGACCGTTTTATTTACATCATAACTCTAAAGAGTTTTTGAGCTACGAAATTTTTTCAAAAAGCATTTTAAAGGTCTTTACAAGCACTTTAGTTTATATTCATTTTCTTCGAAAAATTAGTTCTTTTGCCATTATTTTACAGTAAAATGTTCGATTTTACTTTCCGAAAAATAAACAATCACCTTTAAAGAGTGATAATTCGATTATTATTACATCTAAGGTAATCAACAAAAAATGAATCGATTCGTTATTTCAAAAGCTTTATTTTTGCTTTATATGGGTTTTTCGATAAAACGCAAGGTTTTCGAGTTATTTATCAAAAATGGTTGAAAAACATGCACTTTTTAGATGAAAAATCAACATTTTCAATCGCAAATAACTCGCAAAATATTAATTTTTGGAAAAAACGTTATAGAGCATTTTTTACTTAGAATTCATCCCTCTATTGATTTTTGTGATTAAAATGGGTGCCTTCATTGCCACCCCCGAGAAGGAGTGGCATTCACCCCCAGGGTGAAAGCACACATCGGCACTATGTAACTTTTGTTTCTTGAGCAATTTTCTACTTTCTGTTAAAATTTCACGTCAATCGGTGTATGTGCCAAGAATTCGGACCTAAAAACCATCATATACTTGGCTTAAATTTATTACAGCTGTCAGTTTTTTAACATTACAAAATTACGAACAAGTCCAACAATACAGAAATAGAAAATTTTAGAGTCTTAGTATTGATAGTGATCATTCTCTACAAGTTGCTCGACTGAAGATTTTCATAAAATTTTGTGTATTACAGTTTCTGAACTGAATAGATCTAAAAAAGTTTTATGTGTTTCGTACACTAAGCAAAATTCATGAAAACCTTCAAAATGATGAAATCTGAAGAATTACAATAAATATATAAAATATTGTTATCCACTGAAATTTAAAATAGTTGTACCTGCACTACATCATATGCTGAAGTTAATCCACGCAAATTTGTTTCCTTTAAGCATTCTGCATTTGACAGACAGCTATTATTTTTTTTTAGGAGATTTGTAGGCGGAAGTAATCTAAATCTTGAAGAAAGGTTTGTAATAATCTGTGGTGCATTGTTTTATAATTCTATTGCTCAGTATTACAATAATTATTTAAAGTGCATCTTCTAGTTGGTCCACCATTTTAGATATTTTTGTTAAGCGTGTTATTATTACGTTTTCAAGACTGCGTAGGATATTATTATTTAAACATTTTATATTATGTAATAGGTAATAGCTTAAAACAGCATTTTTATTGAAACTGCAGAGTTTTTATAATGTATACAATAACCGTAATGTAATTATGAAATTTTAAACCCATTTACTATAAGATTTTAAATGATGTGTATGTAATCATTTGTATATTTTAGAATTTCAAAGTATATTGAATTAAATCGATAAATAGCATTTTGTCAATATTTATGAAAATGAATATTTTGTATATTGTTTTGTATTATATGTATATGTTGTGTTTGTTTTGTTTTCGAGCTTCCAAAGTAAAGGAATTACATATTAAATGTTTTTTTCATTTTATTTACTCAACCCACCAAACTACCATGCTATGTGGTTGACATTAAGTTTTCGATTTGCATTCATTTTGGACAGATCCAAGCCAGAAAGTTCACTAAAAAATTTTGAAATTTGAAACTTGTTTGCAGCAAAATTCTTGAACTAATTCAAATGCCAGATGCAAGGATAATATAAATTATCAAATTTAATGAGATTAATACATAATGTGAACATTTTGATCTGTCCAGAGCCTCGGAAAGTATTACTGATAATACATAAATAACAAAAATTACTTTATTGAATAAAACGAATCACAATATTTGCTAATAAGTTAAAGGCATTTCATAATTTTTAAAATGTTTTTTATAACTGGTCTCCATGCAGTCTCATATTTTTAACTACACTAATCAATACAGATGCCTATAGTTAGTAGCAAGAATAACAGACTGATGTACAGGTATCGTGGAGTACAAATGAACAATTACTGCAAAATTCTTCATCGCAATGAGCACAAATGTTAGAACATCCACTACAAACGTATTTTTCACAATAAAAACACTTGGTGTTAACTGTTAAATGCATAGCGCACTGAATACATTGGAAATGACCCACAGTCTTCTGCTTTAATTCTTCTTGAGGTTCGAATTGTTTAGAAGCACCTTTATATAATAGTTGTAGTGTTCTTTCAGATGCAGTTGATCGAATATCACGGGTTTTCGCTTTGTGCCCTATTTGCTTCTTAATAGCTTGTACATTTTCTTCAAAAGGGCACAACCGTTTCGACATTTTTCTTTCAATTTTAGGTTATGTTATGTTTATATTTATTACCAATTACCATAGAAAATTTTGTTTATTACATCACAACCATAGAGAAAGAGGTTAAGGAGAGTTTTTCGTAATCTGTGGTATCAAAGACGATTCGATAAAGCTTAAATGTGTTTTGATTCGCACTTTAAACAGTCCTATAATAATCTGCTCATGCCGCGTTGTAAATACAGTTTTTGTTTCTTTTTTTTTCAGTATAAGTTTGTAAAGGGCCTCACAGACTTCGTTCAATACGCGCGAATGGAGTTGCACGAACGAGCCAGGCAAGCGAAGAAAGGGCCCTAGCTGGCGGGGCCCAGCCAGGACAAAAGGAGGTCCCACAAAGCACCTACACCGCGCCATTATTCTATGGCTAGAAATTGGCCTCAATGATTTGGGATCGAGGGGGATTATCCCTCTTTATCCTGCCTCATCTCGTGTAGGCCTGGACAGCCTTCGTAGGTGGGCCCCATCCGTCGTCTACCCCGACCGCAAATGCGGCCGGTGTAGGCGCTTTGTGGGACCTCCTTTTGTCCTGGCTGGGCCCCGCCGGCTAGGGCCCTTTCTTCTGGCGCTCTTCTTGCTTCGCCGGCTCGTCTGTGTAAACCCCG